TACTTAAGTTCCCAAAATGAGTCAAAATAACTCTATATAATAGAGTTATCATGAAGATATCCAGAAGCATCTCAAGGTTTTGAATCCTACATGGGACTAATTCAATCGGTTAGAGAACCTTTTAATATGCAATCAACATAAAGAATGAAGTTCAAAGTCAAACTAATGTAAGAACATTAAGCGATTAATCTTAGAATTCAAACAGATCTGAAAATCACTTAAATTTGAAGTTTGCTGCATTTTTTGACACATCCAATAAAAAGATTTCATTCAAATGACTTGATTTTTGAAATATGCTATAAAAAGTTGGAAATGAGTTTTAACTATCTAGAGAGATCATATTGAAAGGAATTGAGCTACGAAGTGTGAAGAATTTATCTCTATTCATTTTTGCTCTTGATCAATTAGTGATCAAGTTACACATTGGCAAAGCTGTCAACTTTGGTTGATGAGTTTAGGGAAGCTTACTCTATAAAAGCTTAGTAGAAGCCATTAATTCCACTAGTTTAGTAAAGTTGAAATTGAAAATCCATAAACAGAGATATCAAAGTAATGAATATAGATTGAGAAGGACCAAATCATTATAAATTACCTTTCTTCATCCACATTTCTTTACCTTTCATTTGATTTTGAAATTTTGAATATTTCTTTGAAGTACTATTCACCCCACCTTTAACTTTTGTCACGGCTTGCAAATCCATGACAAGTCAACCCAAGCAATCATGAAGCCAACAACAAATGGGGGTTCTCATGCGCACAAGACGCTAGCAGGATTGGACCGTACAAGGCACATAAGAGCGATGAGGATTAGCAAACTTGGCACGTAAGGCCCACAGGCTTGTGAGCTGTGTGCATACGGATAGTCGACTAGGGTTGGACTTCTTCTATAATGCTGCTAGGAAATGGCGACTAAAGTAGCATATGGTTAGACTAAATGTATTTTATTAAGAATAGGACAATTTACATATTTATATTTTTTTGTTGATTACTTTACTTGCAGTATAAGTAAGTTTAGAGTTATGATATTTCCTTTTATGTCATTTACTAGTACACCAAGTATGTCTAGATTTAAGATGAGTTATAAATAATATTTTTTAATTTCATTATAAACATAAGGGAAAAACACACCAATAATCGACATAAATCTATTGTACCGTGAGAAATAATACACTTTATTTCTCACATGTCTTCTTCTTTACTTCACACATCCGCATTACTATTAGAAGTTAGGGTTGCTTAGTATTCATATGCAAGTTTAAATGTTGTATAAATCTTAACTAAAATTCCAAACCTATGACACATTGCCAATCTTGGGATCAACGAAATCTCCTTTTCAAAAATAAATGTCATTTGCTCTTATATTATTGAAACAGCAAGGATTTTTTTCTTAAAAAAAATTACTACAATCAAAAAGAAACAAAATATCTTACGAGTAAATTGTGCCATTTACGAAGTGTATATACCTCATGTATAAAACTTTGTACTACTTATAAAATAAACATTTAATTTGAAAAAAAAAAGAAATATGTAATTACAAATTTTAAATTATTATCTTAAACATTGTCGATGAAATTTTTAAATTTAGTTCACTAATAGTCATAAGGTTGTCACAACTCAAGTCCTGCTAGACTGTGTTTAAGAAAATTAATAAATCAATATAATAACTGCAAAAACATGAAACAATATTCTATCGTGCTTATAGATTTTTCTAAAATCATGTCACCACTGTTGGTTTTTCTAGAGAAGACATCAATTGTAAGAATCGCACCCCAGAATCTCACAGTTGCAATCTCATGTTGTAACATGTCCACAGCAGCCTCTTCTTGAATAGATGCCCAGAAATTAGAATTGAAGAACATAAACAAAACACAGCACCAAGTCTTCATCAAATGCATTTGTTATTAATTTGACTCCCAAATCCTACGTTTACAATATTGAGGTAAATTGAGACCTACTACTAAATCCAATAGGCATCGCATCAAGGATAACATATGACAAGGATATTCAACTGACTGCTGTGCAGTGCCAATGCCAAACCACACATATATTGAGTTAAAACAACTCAAGATGAAAACCCAAAAGAGAGCATAAACCAGGCTATCTTCTTGCCCATGGCCACAAGCAACTCTCTAACGTTGCAGCCTCACTGCTTCAAATTGCCCGATCAATCTTACCACAAATACTGTTAGCAAGCAAAGAATCTATAGAATCACAAAAGGAGTTTGTCAGGTTAAAGCAAGCATTAAAAACATGCCTGCAATCCTACAACTGCTTCCGGTTGTCACACATCTGTCCTAATCTTATCAACATGCTGAATTCTGGTGATCTATGCCATTATCCACCACCGATACTTCTTTGCTACTTAGCTTGTCTTCCAATTGTAACACTAGAATGAAATCGGAATTTTGGCTTATGGATTCATTAGCTAGTGAAGCTAAAGCATCTGTTCCCGAGCTACAACCCATTTCTCTTGATGGTCCTTCTCTCTCCTCTTTCAACCTAATGGTCTGAGCAAGAGCATGAGACATTTGGTTAACAGAGTCACCAGCACCTAAATATGAAGCATCCACTGGTGAAAAAGCTGGCTCTCTAGCCTTCCTTTCCTTCAAAGCTCTTTCCCGCTTATCATAAAATACAAAATCATCTAGGATAGATGTACGAGTATCATGATCCTTGAAAATTTTCAACATCTCAATGCCTTGCTCTAAATTCACCTGATTACATTCCAACAGCAGAAGAATATAACACAAGACTGAGATGCACAATTATAAGGCAAAAAATATAAGGCAAGCAAGACTGAATATAAGACAACACCTTGGTGCTAACAGGAAAAGCATGTTGGGGCTCAGGTCTCACATCAGTTCAAACAAATAAGTTCAATGTGAATTCCAGCAAAGGGACCAAATCAGAAATAGTGGGCTAAAGGTTTAGCAAAAGGAAAATGAGTTCAAAGAAGCATGAAAATCAGCTACATTAGTAATCATGCAGCCCCAAGGGAAGACACACCATAGTTACCAGGAATGAGGTATGTCTCCGTTCATTGTACGAGAACAGGAATGATGTCATTTACCTAATTTTTGGTACGTTGGGGGTAGGTTTAGTTGTTACACTATGGAGGTTGTGGTACATTGTAAAACAGCTCTTGGGTCACCTATAGTTTGATTTGGTTGATTATCAGTGATAATTATAAATTTAATAAAGATGTTGAAGAAATATTGAATTGACTTTCCTTTAGAAATATGTAATAGATTTTTTTTTCTCTAAAATTGTAAGTGGGCTCTCAAATATTAGTTCATAAAACATAGAGGGTTTTTTATTATGTTTTAAAAATAGGTATTAGGTTTAAAAGTATGAATAACATTAAATCTAATTAGGCAGTGGCCCAAAAGCGTTGAAAAAAATAATCAGCTTTTTTTTTTCTTAACCCTAATATTAAATGTTTTTGACTCCACTCTCTATTTGTGCATCTCTATTATTCTATCTCTCTGTTCCTCTTGTCTTCAGCCTTCTCTCTCTTTATCTTCCCTTCTTCTCTAAAATTCCAGAATTTGTGCTTCGCTTCTCTCCTAAATTCTGCCATTTTTTTTGCTGCTTTTGTTCTGCAGTTTTGATGTTCGGTTCCCTCTATGATCCAAAATCTGGATCCCCAATTTTAGAATCCAGATTGCATACCAAGGGATCCCAGACCGCAAAAGTACCACACGATCTGGATAGCAAGATCCATTTCATGGTTCCAGGGGGATAGAGAGAACCTGGTAACTATGTGAGAGACACATTCAAATACAAACCCAGCCCTCAAAAGCCATGAAAAACAGCACATGCATGCACACAAACTAACCTTGACAGAAACACAAAAAGGATTAAGAAGAAAGGGAAAGGGAAGAGGGATGGGTGGGGGGTGGCAAACATACTCTCAAGAGAAGCATTTAAAAGAGCTTAAAGATGACATACAGTTGAAATAAACCCCCAACCCTTACCACACCCAAACAGCATGAACTCTCGCTTAATGAAGAATGACAAACAGCTAAAAGTAATTCAGAAGACAGAAGAAGACACTTAAAAAGAAGCATGCTTGCACAAGCTGACATGTTAAAATTCTTGATAGGAACAGTCAAATCAGCCACCTATAGAGGAGAGGAAGATGGGTGCATTTCACAGCTAAGAGACACAGTAAAGAAGCATTGCTGAGTAATTATGTTCTCCAAGAGCAATAGAGATGCACACATATGCAAAAGTTGAGGAGGCTTAATATAATTTGATACTTTTATAAAGTGACTTCACAACAGTGACAGAAAATTTGGTTTGTCAAGGATGCATACTATGGAAATTTGAAAATGTTTCAAAAGAAGCAAGATCACAACACGTCTTAAAATACCAAACTAACATACTCATCTTATGAACATTTCTATAAGAATATTTATTCTATAAGAATCTTTAGTCTATATTCCACCTTAACAAGAGGGTCATATCGAAGATAAGGAAATTAACCCTTTTGAGCAACAAAAACTGCAAAAGCCTTCAAATATCACAATCGTTTTAGAAGTTAGAACCAAACAAACCAATGTACTTGTCTTATGAAGTTCTCTAAAGCACATTACTACACTTCATGCCACTGCGACCTTCCAGTCCAAGGGCATCTAGCTCTCTAGTACAAGCAAAAGCATAAAAGCCTTCTAATGCCACCGTACTCTTTGACTGTCTAAGAATCTATCACACCAATGTAGGATAGCCACTATGTTCTTATATTGAAGGGAAAAACACACACACACTTAAATGAGAGAAGTCAACTAAAAGAGAAAACTTGACCTTTTCTTTCACTGTAACCAAGGCACAGGATTCGACAGGCACTGAAGATAAATGAAGCAAACCAAGGGCTTGTTTAGTTCTAGAAAATTATTTTTATTTTCCATCTCTATTTTTATATTATAAATTATCAATGCAATAAGGGTAATAAAAAATTTAGAAATCCTTGTTTTCCAATTTTCTATGAAACTAAAAAAACAAAATGTGAACTGTTTTCGAACTTCCTACCTGCATTTGGAAACCCTTTTGTAATTTTCCAAATTTAGTTATTTACCTAATCTTATTGATAATATTCAGTGTGAAAAAAAATGGAAAACAGAAAACAATTTCTAACAACCAAACAGATCCTAACTTCTTTACAAATAAGAAACACCAGAATACTACTAGAATGCTTGACTAACATTCTGCATCTCAGTCAACAAAGAAAAAGTTGGAACAAAAGAAAAGAAGCAAGAAAAAAGAAGGAACCGGAGGGGGAGAAGAGATAAAGAAGCTATGCTACCTCCTGTGAATCTCGACTGTGGGTAACAGGCTTGTTGTCATTATTTTGCAGCAAAATATGACGGAATCGATTGTTTGGAACGTCTTTGATGACATGCCACTGAACTGGGAACTGTCCACTCCACCTATCTTGTTGCCAAAAGTCTGCATCACTCTCAAAATCTACAGGTCCAGCCATTTGAGCTACCCCACAAAACTGTCCACTGGCATTGACCTGAAAAAGGTAACCAACAATTAAATTTTTCAAACAAGCTAAATACAAGAAATAGATGAGAGTAACATGTTACATATAGTGAAGGCAACAATCTTCTCAATTGACAGCTAATACAATAAAACAAAATTAGAACAGGCTGCTTTTCTATTTGGCTGGTATTGATACTAATCAACTTGGTTGACCCTATTTAGATCCACATTCCATAAACATCTAGAAGCAAAACTAGACTTGTTCTTCGGCAAGTTGCAATTAAACCATTATATATACACCTTAAATAAACCACCACAAGACAACAACAACAGCATCACTGACTAATGGAGCTTCCCGCATTCAATTATATCTTCTATCACACTATCTTCTATAAGCACACATCCTAGGTTGTAAACCAATGATGACACTTCTTTTGCTCATCTGCACAAAAAAGATTTAACTAAGGCCTAAAAAGCCAAGATACTCCAAATTAAATTTTATTTAAGAAAAAAAAATATATCAAGCAAAGTTGACTCATGCTACTTACTGAAAACAACAGAAAGACTGGACAGGTTTCCTTCTTCTCTTTGGCTTCACAATAGGCAGCATCTAGTTTTTTGTTTCCATGTGGAGTGCTGGCCCATACATTGTATTTAATACTTTTGTGAACATTGTCTTCACTGAAAGATTTGATGATAAAAAACCTGGCATTCTCATAATCAGTACAAAAATCTGGCTGGTTGTACAAATCAAGATCAATTGCAGATATGGCTGAATCTATTTTGCTATTATCAGATCGAGAGCTCTGTTCACTGGTGCTCTTGCCCTTCAGCTTTACAGCCCTTGGTCCACGATTATGGTCCATACCCTGAGACTCATTAGAAATGCAAATTGAGTCCTGGTCTCTTTCTTGTCTCTTGCCCTTGTCAAGAACAAATCTTGTCTGGTCATTAGGCCCCAAGAAAGGAACAGATGCACTGCTGAACTTGGAGCTCTGATAAGATCCATCGTGTGGGTAGTGTCCAACAGAGGAACCAGATCTCTGTAGAAAAAAAATGCATAATTATAAATTTACAACAGTAAAATGGCTATGCAGTCCTAGAAACATAAATAACAAATAATCGTAAAAGAACCTAACCAAGTAATATCCTTGTATAGGAAGCAACCATCTCAGAAAAAATGTTACAAATATCATATAAAAAATTCAGTTAAGCAGGTGCGCTTGATGACATTATTGCTGAATTACATTGTGGGTAATGGAGCTCCCAAAACTTAATATTATGCTGTATAATTTGACATGCCCCACAAAGAGGGAAACAAAATTGTTTGAAAATTTCACTGCTAAAAAGCAGATACGTATGAATAATGAATGTAAATGAAACTGCAAAACTTTAATTTTTGTAAATTAAGAAGCCATTAGTGCTTGTCTTTTTTGTTTTTAACAGCAAAGCTTTTTCATAAAAGATTCAACTAGCTATTTATGACAACCACTTCATGATATTCCTCAGTAAGTTGTATATGCAATACAGTTCCGATATGTCTCCTGCTGCATCCCACAGTCATATGTAAACTATATGAAAGAACGATGCACATAGACTTCAACTGAGTCAGCAAATTACGATAGATGATTGTCACTTTCAATACCAGATTCACCAAAGAAGGGAGTGATCAATATACAGGATAATGAAATAGTATTTCTTCTATTTAATGAGCAGTATTCTTTAGTTGTCACCATTTTTAGCTCTCATGGAACAAATTGAATTTTTTCCTATGATTTGCCCACTGTGAAAAAATTTTGAGGGAGGTGATGGATTTGGTATTTGTACAGAAACGTTCTTTAAGCCATCATTTATACTGCTTCCCATATGATTAACAAACGGTAAAGGTCTATTCTGTAGGGGGACATGTTATGCTATTTTCTTTTCCCATTTATGCCATATCAGCATAGTAGCAGTGTTAGTAAAACCATAAAATATGAAGATCCCACCAGCAAACTTTTTCTTTTCCCTCTTCTGCATATTGGGACACTACACTTTGGACAATATGACAATGTTCTAAAGTTAAGAAAAGAAACCTGTCTGCGCTCATATGAACCAAGAATGCCCACTGGTTGAGAATAAGCTGCAGGAGAAGTTACAGCGCTAGAACCAAAAATCCCAGAAATGTTCCCCATACCATATGATCCATATTGTATTAAGTAACCTGACCTTGTTCCATAATGCATGTTCTCCTTACTACTTTCCAGTGTCATCAGCTCAGTTGGTATAACAGGGACAGCTGCAGGAACATTTGGAGAGGCAGGTAGTGGACAATAAGTTGGAGGAAATGGAACTTGTTGTGAAGCATATAGTGGGCCTTCTACCAGTAGAGAAGGCAGAGGTGTACCAACTGGGGAATATTGTCCATATGACATTTCAGGAGTGAAGCCATAACCAGCGTGCAGCAAAAGAGATTGATTTTCATTGTAGATTACCTGGTCCAGGTTAAAATAATTATCTTCCTTAAGAATAAAAGTAGAGAAGAGAGCCACCATATTGTGATCTTTAAACTAGGAAATATGCTTTGAAGATTACAGAATGAAGTAGTCATATTCTCACAGGAGATAAGTGCAATCCATCAGCATTCACAAAGTGAGGATATCCATCCCAACTACCGGTGCTATTGCCATAGCCTGAAGCCAAAGGAAATTTGATGCACACAAATTGCACACAATTGTTCTGAGCACTCATCCAAACATTTTGAAGTAATAATACTGCCAAGGTATTATCAATACTAAAAGAATATCTTTAAAAAGGAAAAAGAAAAGATTTTAAAACTTAATCTGCAAAGCTTTGTATATGAAAGAATACTGGTCAAGATTCAAAATAGTTAATACAGAAGGCCAAGGTTCACACATGCAAAATAGTAACAGGAAGCATGGACGTGAAACTAACCTCCGTATGACACACGTTGATGAGAACCACAAGCACTGAGTGGATGGATGATACTAAGATCTGCACTTTCATTTGAAGCTCCAGGATAGTCAGCAGCATCCATTGAAGGTCCTATGGTGGCTGCATCCGGGGAAGGATTCGCTAAAATATTCCTTTCATCTTTTGGCGAAAGTAGCTGATAATAGATTACAAAATAAAATGCTAATGGAATATATTGACCTATGGTCATCAAGTTACATGGAAACAAATACAATTAAACATTTACCAAGCAATTCATAGTTAAGTACCTGCTCCATTGAGTTTTCAGGCCAAACAGGCCTCTCCCCTGCAATCCACCATTGAACATTCATTGACTCGTTGCAAAAAACATATCATAAACATATTTCATAACATATTGAACAAATTATTCAATCTCAGATAGCAAGAAAACCATCACGGAAAAGAGATAAAATTACACTCCGTGACTCATCACAACATAGATAACATATCATGAACATATGTTAAAACATATTGGACAAGGGTTCCATCTCAGATCTGGCAAAAAGCATCACGAAGAACAAAATATTCCACAGAGATATAGGAGACTCTAAAAATGTTAAAACAGATCTTGAGGTGTTAGAAGGAAAGAAAACAAAAATTAATATGACATTTCTCTAAAGTCGAGGCAACTCAAAATGACACATCTTGAGTTGTTATTTAAAATCCTTACTTTGGCTTTCAAAATACCTCATCCAACTACTAAAAATTTTAAATTTCAAAATTTTATTTGACCAAACAAGTTAATTTCATTTTTTGAAGTTTAAAATCCTTTGTACAAATGAAATTTCACCTCGATTTTCTCATCTAAACGTATTCTAAAGGTTATGAGCATAGCTCTAAATCACGGTCACGCAGTCATGAAGCCGTCACAATGTAACGGATGCCAATGCACAAATCTTACATACTAGGTCATAAGCGTAGCAGATGCAAAATTTTTCCTTAAGAATGCAATTTGTCTTTAAAAAATTTTTCATAGAGGCTCTGTTTGTTTCACTGAAATGGACTTTACGTTTTCTAATGTTTGCTTGCCATAAATTGTCTTAGTCGAAGGAAGATGTCTTCTTGGTCAAAGGAAAAAGCACTCATTTTGGGGAAAATTGTCTTCTATTTTTTAAAAACACAAAAGACATTTGCCGAAGTTAACAACGAAGGGTCCCAAACTCCCAAAACCTTTCACCCACTCAGCTCATTCATTAGACTTCATGAAACCACCATCCCTCTTCCCCTTCATCCGCTAGAGCTTCTCCTCCCCCCCATACACACACACACACACACACACACACACTTTTCCTTGGCCTACAACCTCCTTCCTTTTTTTCCTTCTCCCTTTCTTCTTCCCTCTCATCTTTTATTTTTTCCTCTGCCAGCAACCTTGCCTTCCTTTTCCTCTGTTCTCTCTTTCCTCCTCTATTACCCTTTTCTCATCCTCTTCCTATAAACTGATCCAAACCCATTTTTAATCGCATCTCAACAAATTGCAACCCAAAATCTTGATTTATTTTGAGACCTAGTTCTTGTGTTGCACAGCTGACAATTCCTTTGCTACCAAGCTCAAAACCGCCAGCCATAGTTGCATTCCTCCACTACCAACAACCAATTCCTTTTATTTTTCTTACCATTATAATTTGTATTATTGAGTGGGTAGCATCTGAGTGGGTAGCATCTAGGTGCAGTTTTGACAAGTAAATATTCTGGATTTCCTCACCCTTAAGACTACTTAAGGATGATGAATTCTCTTTTGTATTGCTTCATCATTAAGAATACTTAATTACGGAGTCTAGCTAACACCTCCTTCATTGTAGCCACTAAGAATTAGCCTCCTTCAAACTGCTATAAGGTTATAAACTTTCTTTGGAAGTAGTTTTGAGAATATATTCAGCCAAATTATTGAGAAGTGTGGTGTGATGCCATATTAATTGTGGTGTGACTCCACAAAAGTTCCTAATTGCTCTCAAAAGTGTTTCTTCTATTCTTATTCTCTTAATTTAAATTTTTACTTTGCTGCATCAGTTCTGTTATCAAAGCTAAAAGTTCCTATTTTGAAAGATCAACTACTTGTTTAAACGTTGCATGCAACTAAGAAGTGGGAGAACTTATCCAGCCATGAGCTATAAGAGTGCTTCTGATCAATAAAAATCACATTTAAATTTGATTTACAGCAAACAAGAAGCTCAAACTAAAGAAATTGCCGACCTCAAAAATCAACTCAAGCGATAATGAAGTTGTTATAAAGGGCATAAGAAAGAGCCGGCCAGAAAACCAAAATCTCTGATACAAGATTCGACCAAGTTAGTGGCAATTTTGCTACCATAGATCAGGGTAGACCAGCACAAGAAACAAGTTATGCTTTGGTGACTAAAGATATAACAAAGAAGGTTCATATAGAAGTAGAAGACTTTTAAGGAAAGCTGAAATCTACAGTCTCTTCTGATAGGCTTATATTTATGGAAGTATTTTAATTGGTTTTCTAAGCCAGACGACATGAAGGCTCGCTTTACAAAGGCAAAAATTTGAAGGGAACAGCACGGCCATTGCAGCACAGTGTTTAAAAAAATTTTAAAACTGGAGAAAGGCCTATAAATTGGTGAGATGAAATGGAGTTGAAGATGAAGGAGCACTTACTCCCTGCTGATTAGGAACAAAACTTGTATATAAAACTTTCTTTTAGACAAGAAGCTAGATTGGTAGAAGAATAAGCAGAGGAGTTTTGTGAGTTAACAATTTGAAACCAAGTAAAGGAAAGTGACATGCAGCTTGCTGCTTGGTATAAAGCAGGCCTTCCAACGAAGATAGCAGCCACACATACCTACAGTTTGGAGGAAGCTTACCAACTTGCTTTAAAAATTGAGGAAGCATTGAAGTTTCACTCAAGTACACGGCCAAACTTTCAAACCAGGGAAAAGCCAACAGCTCAAAGACCTTCAAATATAAGTAACTATTCTCAGCCAACTTTTGACAATGCTCACAGTTTTAAGCCTAGAGAGTCAAATAAAGCTCACACTCCTGATTCTAAAGGAAAGACAGCTTCTAATCCAACAAAGAAGGAAAAGCAGTTCACCTATTTTAGATGTGGGGAAAAGACCATTACAGTTTCCAACATCCAAGCAAGAATCTTCACATTGGAATTGAAGAAAATATTGCTGAACCAGTAGATGGTGAAACATTTGAGCATGAAGTTGGTGAATACACAAATGATGAAGAAAATAACCAAAGAAATATTGAAACTAACTTTGTCAATTTCATAAAGTGAACTTGCATAGTGAGGCAACTACTAGCATCACATAAAGTGGAAGATAAGGAAGATTGGCTGTGGACTACTATTTTTCAGACCCTAGACAAGGTATATCAGCTTCCCATTTTTATACCAGCAATAACTTTCATTTAATCTTGTCCTATCTTTTCATTTCAAAGTATAATCTTTGTAAGAGGTTTAATTAAGAAGTTATGGAGAGAAGCAGCTCTGCAATGGCATTGCTGTAGCAGCTGTTACATCCTGGGTAACAGCCATTAGGAACATGATTCCGAATCATGGTGATTTTTTTAGGTTTCATGGTTTCAGCACCCTCAAAATCTGCTAAAAAGTGGCTTTTATACCGCATAACGGCATATTTAGAACAATAGCTTTGAGTTTCATGAACAAAATTGATTCAGTACAAATTTCGCTATTAAGTAACATTAATCCCCTACCTTGAGCACCAAAGAGTCATTGAGAATCTTAGGATACATCATTATTTTAGAAAGGTTATACACTGAAAGTTATATTTACAACCTCTGGTCAGTCAAAGACAGGATACATAAGCTAGTCAAATCATCCCAAGCCAAGGTCAAATTGGATCAAATTGACAAGATCAAATCAAACGCATCCTGCCTAACGTAGAAACTACTTCTAATCGCACAGTACAATGATAATACTTGTGAAATTTAGAACAGAGAATGGGGGGTGGGAGGAATACAAGGGAGCACCATCCATGATTGGAAAGATCTCAATCAAACATGAATGTAAGAGGCAACTGCTCATTTGACTCTAAAACTGAGTGTGTAAGGAATGGCCAAAGGGCACCAGCCTTACAGTTTCATCCCCTTATTCTGTTGCCAAGAATTATTGCTGCAAGTAAATTCCCCTTTCCCATATAATAAGGACGATGATAATAACTCAAAACTAATTTAACAAGAAATAATCAAGACATTAAATAGGAAACCACAATGTAGAAAGGAAAAGGTAATAGAGGCAAACATATTTGCAGAGTCCTAAATCCAAAGGGGAAATGAGACAGAGTGATCCATAAATACAGAAATTAATACATTTCAAAAACCCTAGCAACAGTTGTGCACAAGGCAGATATCACCACTCGAGCCAAATACAAACGCTATAAAAGCATGGAAACTCTACGAAGTATTCGATTTTTAGCGTTTGAAATTCAAACAGAAATTCTCTCAATTCCACTCGAAACAAGCAAAAGGCAGAAATGGGATCAAACCTGTAGATGCGATTCGAAGCCGTTCGTTCATGGATCGGAGACACTTTGATTTTTTTGAGAGGGAAATAATTCAGAAATGTGACAAACAAAGGGAGGGGTTTTGGCCTTTGGGGTTTGACTTTTTTTTCTTAATGAGGGTTTTGAAATATTTTTATCAATATTATCTACCTATATAGTAATACATTAACTAGTCTTGATGAAATAGCTAAATAATTTGATCAGAATTTATATAATAAATATTAATGTAAAAAATTATATAATCTATAGTTATACCATATATTAAAAGTGAGTACAAATTGAGACTATTCCAAACAATAAGTTTTTTTTTTTTGGTTTTTGTAGGATGACCTCTTTGATCATTGTGAGGTTTTGGAGCTTTTCTTGTCTTTCCAAGATCAATTTTGTTTTTTTTTTTTGTTTCGAGGGCAATTTTAGGTTTTTAATATATTTACATGTGTTTTTGGTCTTTTAATTACCATACTACTAGATTTTTTCCTCTTCGCTCTTTCCATCCTCTTTCGTTTCTTACTTTCTCCATTGATTTCATCTTCTTTTCCTTTTTTCCCAATACTCGTTTTTGGTATTTTGTTTTGTTTTATTTCTTTCTTATGGTACTTTTTTGTTCATTTTCTTTACTTTTTGATTTGCTAAAGTATTGTTCTTCTTATTTTCTTTACTTTTTGGTATTTTAATTTATATTTTTTTATATCATTTGGTGTTGTTCTTGACTTTTCTGATTTTAACTTTAGTTTTTTGCTTTGCAGGTTGGTTTGGTTTGTTATCTATTTTGGCTTAATTGTTTTCTTGGTATTCCAAATTTAGCTTACTTTGATTTGTTCTTTCACTTTATTGGTTTATTCTGGTTGTATATATAAGGAATTATTTTTCTGTGATTACAAAGATGACACCCAGCAAAGCAAAGGTAGCACTCTAGTTTATTTCTATAATCTATATTTATATATAATAAATTCTACTATAAAATGTACAATATATATGTAACATCTTTAATATTTATAAAGATTACGGATAACTTTAGTAAAGCTACATGACGAGTTGATATGAAACTTAAATACATCAATATGAGATTCAAAGTATATCTATGAATATGTAACCTTAAAAATTTTGAAGTACTAGTGAATGTGGTTTTGAAATTTTGTCAAATTGAACATTATGAATGATGATGAGTATGCACAAAGCTATAAGTATGTGAAATCATGTCATTTGTGTAAATATATTGAAATATGAAAGAAGATTACTATGTTTTGAAGTTTAAATGAAACTTGAACTTATATTTTTAATGTCAACATTGGAATTTTGAGTTATATGGATGATTGATGACATAGGAATGATTTGGGAACTTAGAGAATGAAGTTAGACGTTAAAAACTATGTAAATTTTAGGTTTTGGATATAATCTATTGATAGATATTCTATGTTTATTGATAAATGCAAGGTAGAATGTGATTGGAGCAATTGAAGAACTTTATCGATAGATTCATTATGACTATCGATAGATGTCCACCTGTGAGTAATTTGAAGCATGTTAGATGCTATCTACCGATAGATGTGCCAAATCTATTGATAGATAGCAACATAATAGTGATTGAAAGATGTTTAGTGTGCCATCTATTGATAAACAAGGCTATTTATCAATAGATGGAGGGCAAAATTTTGAAAATCGTGTTCTATCTATTGATAGATGCATGAAATTTTGCAAAAATATAAAGACTTAGGGCATTCTATCTATTTCAAAAGAAAAAGAAACCACGTTGGGTTGTTTTACACGTCCCCCATGGTTGAATGGAGCGTATTTAAGGCCTTTGGGAGCTTAGAAAATCACCTTGAAGGTAAGGTTTAGCTTCTTAGAAGCTTGAATATTCTTTAACCAGTTCAATTTTTGTAGAATTTATTTCATTGAAAAAGTTATGGCTTTGTTGCTAAGAGGCAAAGTCCTAAAGCTTTTGTGACGAAAGTGACTTGTTAGAGGTAAGATTAAGCTCCCTAACCTTTCAGTTTATGTCTTAATCAGTTAATAATCATGAAAATTGTGTTGCTCTAGTTTAGGTGTTGTCTTGCTTGAATGTTGGAAATTTGGAGTTTGAGTTAAGTTGATTCAACACCTAAGGAGGAAATTGGTGCTTTTAGAGCACTCTTGAGTGTTAAGATTTGCTGCTACGCTTGGAGGATTGTTGGTGAAGCAAGGAACACTTGAATTGTTGCTGGAAGATCTTACACTTGTCATTATAAGTGGGGCTTTAGTTTTAAAAAATTATGGTTGGGCAATATATCTATATATATGCATGAACGATGCTATGTGATGCATGTCTCTTGTGCTCGTCTGGAAGTGAAATGCCTAGGCAATTGTTTTGATATGAATTTATGTGAATTCTGATCTTGTGGAGAAATGCTCTATTTTTCATAAAAGCTTTTGAAAGCTATATGTATGTATGTATGTACTTATGTATGTTTTAAAAACAAGAATCAAGCCCCTTTGAAATTGTTTGTTCATCAAGTTGTATAATATATTTATGTACTCTGTTGTGAGCCACATAGTGACAATTATATTTGATTTGTCTCAGTATTAAAGGCCTTTATTATATGACTTTTTTATTTTTAATTATGTGAGCTATGAATGGATTATTTTACATTTATCAAGGTTTATTGAGCTTGCCACAATTGTGCATAAGACATATTGTCTGTCTAAGGGTAGGTTATTTATGACAAATCACCTAATTGAGGCTTGTTATATGTTGATAAATTTGATGAGTGAGTGTAACGACCCAGGTCCAACCACTAGCCTAGCAGCTTTTTGGGCATAAACCACGTGGCCCTTAAAAGCTGAAGCTCAAGTTGCTAGTAGTGGTGGGTTTAGATTGTTATATAGGTCTTAACAATCATATTCACATCAGATGTGGGATGTTGGGTATCACATTGAGATTATATAGAGACTAATATTTTTGAATTTGTCAAGTATATTGAGCTTGTTGAGCTATGATGGTCATGATCATATATAAGATTATGTTGCAAGTTTAGGAGAAATTTAATATGAATAAATGGTCTAACTGAGAATCAGTATATGTTTGATTCATTGATAAGAAGAAGTATATGAAAGGTTATGTTTGAACTAGCTAAGCATGTGAGGCTTATTAAGCTATGATTATTCGATGTGAAATTATATATGAGCTATTAATGACATGATTGTTTGGAAAAATAATAAGTATGTGTTCCATCCGATGGTTATGAATTCCAAACATTAATTCAATTGTGGTTTAGTGGTGTTCTTCCTTTGTGACTTTGTTCCTTACTAATTGCTTTAGCAATGTGCATGATTTGTTCTTCACCAATTGTTTCAACATTGAGATTGATTTGATTCTCTACCAATTGCTTTAGCATTGAGTGTGATTTGATCTTCCATTAGATGCTTCAGCTTAGAGCGTGATTTGATTCCTTATCAATTACTTCGGCACTGAGCATAACTTGATACACCATCGATTGCTAGAGCATTACACGTGATTTGATTTCCGTCAGCTAGCCACCATATAATGACTTTGATTATGTCCAAAGAGGACCATTCATTGATTATGATTTGCATATGATGATATGAATTGGAAAACAACATGTTATATTATTGGTTATGCGATTATTAATGTGTATATTGGATGTGATAATCATTTGTTTGGAAAGCCTTAAGACAAGATTTATGTGGCTTCAAAATTGGTTGCCATTGGCAAATTATGCAATGCCTCGAGAATATGGCATGTGCGACATCTTTAATGGTAAGCTTATGATAGCTTTGTGTTCATTGTGATTAAGTTGATAAACGACCTAAAGTTAGTAAATGTATAGATCTGGATGAGCAATTATGGCAAGTTTTTATATACACCCTAAAGGATGACTTGTGATATGAAAGGCTAGTAAGCCAAAAGTTGTATACTAATTATTTGGTGTATATTGTACCATGAATTATATGATTGGAGGAGAAATATTGTTGATAGCAGAACTTATGATTTTGTGATATGAGATGATGGGATGAGTGCCATAGATATATGTAATTTGCCTATTTGGAGATGATTTGTACATAGTTTTCCTTGCATTATGAATGCATTATTTGACATACTTTTGAACTATTTATTTTATTAAAAAGAAAACTTTTCTGTTTATGGCTTGATATCCCTCCTCTCCCACTTATTGAGTTAGTAAGAGACTTACTTTTTTTATTTGTGCTGGAAATTAACAAGTTGGGGATTTTCATGTGGGAAATGTGTAGTTAATGCCCACTTTGAAGATTGATCATTAGCATCTAGTATGCATGTGTTGGATTTGGCTATGGACAACATGCTCAAAATTACGCAACTGAAAGAAAATTAAGATTTTAAAAACAAAAACATACTTCTTTCCATGGATCACCATGGTGATATTTTAACACATAGAATGATATATAAAATCATAAAATTAGAAGCTAACCTTGCCAACTTTCTTCTGATCAGAATAACAATCTCTTCAATACAACCCGCGAACACCACAAGAAGCAAGAATCCTATTCAATCAAGCTCTTGGCCTCCAATGGTAATATACACGATTTCACTTGAGCCTTTTAGCAAAGGATGGAGATTTTAACTATGCTTTTGTGGTAGCAAAAGGGGACAATGTTTGTCTTTTTTTTTACATTTCACAAGGATGGCCGAATCACATACTTGAAAAATTGCTTCAAAAATAATTTTTCTTCGTTACAAAGTAGGTGACGACACTTAAGGAGAAAAACTCCTTGTTTGTTTGTCTAACAACTTTGTTTCATCCTATGTGAAAAAATATTTAAATGTGATTTATATAGTTAGGTTAAAATTAACTTTAATTTTGCAATAAGACCTTCCAAATTATAACACATTACGGTATAGGCCCATGACTTAATTAAAGTATTTTAATTAAGCCTAATAAAAATTAAATTGAAATAATTTCCTTTATATTATTGCAATTTTGGCATTATAATTATAACTATTTTAATATTATACCAAAAACTTCATTAAACTCTTTTTAATTACGTTTATAAAAGTTAATTACCTAGCATGTGATTTGAGTCTAACTTAAATAATCATTCTCTTAATTTAATTCAAATGCAATCATTGTGTGTGACCCATTAGGTTCCTAACA